CTAGTCTATAGTCTAGTCTATAGTCTAGTCTATAGTCTAGTCTATAGTCTAGTCTATAGTCTAGTCTATAGTCTAGTCTATAGTCTAGTCTATAGTCTAGTCTATAGTCTAGTCTATAGTCTAGTCTATAGTCTAGTCTATAGTCTAGTCATAGTCTAGTCTATAGTCTAGTCTATAGTCTAGTCTATAGTCTAGTCTATAGTCTAGTCTATAGTCTAGTCTATAGTAGTCTATAGTCTAGTCTTTAGTCTAGTCTATAGTCTAGTCTATAGTCTAGTCTATAGTCTAGTCTATAGTCTAGTCTATAGTCTAGTCTATAGTCTAGTCTATAGTCTAGTCTATAGTCTAGTCTATAGTCTAGTCTATAGTCTAGTCTATAGTCTAGTCTATAGTCTATAGTCTAGTCTATAGTCTAGTCTATAGTCTAGTCTATAGTCTAGTCTATAGTCTAGTCTATAGTCTAGTCTATAGTCTAGTCTATAGTCTAGTCTATAGTCTAGTCTATAGTCTAGTCTAGTCTAGTCTATAGTCTAGTCTATAGTCTAGTCTATAGTCTAGTCTATAGTCTAGTCTATAGTCTAGTCTATAGTCTAGTCTATAGTCTAGTCTAGTCTAGTCTATAGTCTAGTCTATAGTCTATTCTATAGTCTAGTCTATAGTCTAGTCTATAGTCTAGTCTATAGTCTAGTCTATAGTCTAGTCTATAGTCTAGTCTATAGTCTAGTCTATAGTCTAGTCTATAGTCTAGTCTATAGTCTAGTCTATAGTCTAGTCTATAGTCTAGTCTATAGTCTAGTCTATAGTCTAGTCTATAGTCTAGTCTATAGTCTAGTCTATAGTCTAGTCTATAGTCTAGTCTATAGTCTAGTCTATAGTCTAGTCTATAGTCTAGTCTATAGTCTAGTCTATAGTCTAGTCTATAGTCTAGTCTATAGTCTAGTCTATAGTCTAGTCTATAGTCTAGTCTATAGTCTAGTCTATAGTCTAGTCTATAGTCTAGTCTATAGTCTAGTCTATAGTCTAGTCTATAGTCTAGTCTATAGTCTAGTCTATCTAGTCTAGTCTATTCTAGTCTAGTCTAGTCTATAGTCTAGTCTATAGTCTATCTATAGTCTAGTCTATAGTCTAGTCTATAGTCTAGTCTATAGTCTAGTCTATAGTCTAGTCTATAGTCTAGTCTATAGTCTAGTCTATAGTCTAGTCTATAGTCTAGTCTATAGTCTAGTCTATAGTCTAGTCTATAGTCTAGTCTATAGTCTAGTCTATAGTCTAGTCTATAGTCTAGTCTATAGTCTAGTCTATAGTCTAGTCTATAGTCTAGTCTATAGTCTAGTCTATAGTCTAGTCTATAGTCTAGTCTATAGTCTAGTCTATAGTCTAGTCTATAGTCTAGTCTATAGTCTAGTCTATAGTCTAGTCTATAGTCTAGTCTATAGTCTAGTCTATAGTCTAGTCTATAGTCTAGTCTATAGTCTAGTCTATAGTCTAGTCTATAGTCTAGTCTATAGTCTAGTCTATAGTCTAGTCTATAGTCTAGTCTATAGTCTAGTCTATAGTCTAGTCTATAGTCTAGTCTATAGTCTAGTCTATAGTCTAGTCTATAGTCTAGTCTATAGTCTAGTCTATAGTCTAGTCTATAGTCTAGTCTATAGTCTAGTCTATAGTCTAGTCTATAGTCTAGTCTATAGTCTAGTCTATAGTCTAGTCTATAGTCTAGTCTATAGTCTAGTCTATAGTCTAGTCTATAGTCTATAAGTCGTCTATAGTCTAGTCTATAGTCTAGTCTATAGTCTAGTCTATAGTCTAGTCATAGTCTAGTCTATAGTCTAGTCTATAGTCTAGTCTATAGTCTAGTTAATAGTCTAGTCTATAATCTAGTCTATAGTCTAGTCTAGTCTAGTCTATAGTCTAGTCTTGTATATATGTATACATGCCATGGATTCCCTCAATAACTTTATGTAACTATAAGAAATACCTTAAAATATTTTTTCCGTTTTTTAAAGAAATTTATAAAAAGTTTAAATTAATCTCTGTCTGGCTTAAGTCTGTCTGGTCCCGCTTAAGGCGTTAAGCCTTAAACAAAACCCGATTAAAAAAGAAAAAATTGTTTCATTGACCAATAATTTCACATTTATCGCTAAAAGATGAGACATTGACTTTTGAAGAAACAAAAAATTGCAAAAAATTAAAATCCCACAAAAAAAAAAAAAAAATAATAAAAATGCATTTAATGAAAACGTGACTTACATTTATACTTTATTAAGATATTATTCTTACGTTTTACATATTTTTTACAAATGAAATAAAAGATTTTTTTTTTATTTAATTAATACGATTTTTTTAAAGAACGGGTGGGAGTGGGGTTTGGTATTATAAATAATTTCATGTAAATAGAGAGTTAAAATGATTGAGAAACATGGACATACATGGACTTAAGTAGTAATATGTTTAATAATAAAACAGAGTAACATAAAATAAAATTATTAATAATAGACTTCAAAATAAAAATGGAAAAGGATGTAGTAGTTCAGAGCTTTTTAATATTTAATTAATAAATAATCTAGTATTTTTTTATTATTAATAAAATAGTTTTTCAATTACAATTGTAATCTTAGGTTATAGTTAAAATTATAAGATAAGTTACAAATAAACAGAATAGAAAATAAGAGATTTTCATTTATATGCTTAATTCTAATAACGCAGTTATTATGCTGCTATGTATAATAATTAAATTATTTTTTTATAATAACAATAAATTATAGATGTGATAAAAACAAAAAAACGAATACTGAAATATTAGAAAATATCGAAATTAAACAAAAAAACTATCATCGTTACACTGCCATACATTCGCAATACATAGGAAATCATTTCCATACACAGAAAATTTTGTAAAAATACTTAGATGTAAAGACTTAATCCAAAATTTTCCAAAAACTGAAAATTAAACGAAAATCTTATCTAAAGTCCGTATTATAGTCTTCTCCCTAGAACTAAACTAGAACTAAACTAGAACTGAACTAGAACTGAACTAGAACTGAACTAGAACTGAACTAGAACTGAACTAGAACTGAACTAGAACTGAACTAGAACTGAACTAGAACTGAACTAGAACTGAACTAGAACTGAACTAGAACTGAACTAGAACTGAACTAGAACTGAACTAGAACTGAACTAGAACTGAACTAGAACTGAACTAGAACTGAACTAGAACTGAACTAGAACTGAACTAGAACTGAACTAGAACTGAACTAGAACTGAACTAGAACTGAACTAGAACTGAACTAGAACTGAACTAGAACTGAACTAGAACTGAACTAGAACTGAACTAGAACTGAACTAGAACTGAACTAGAACTGAACTAGAACTGAACTAGAACTGAACTAGAACTGAACTAGAACTGAACTAGAACTGAACTAGAACTGAACTAGAACTGAACTAGAACTGAACTAGAACTGAACTAGACTGAACTAGAACTGAACTAGAACTGAACTAGAACTGAACTAGAACTGAACTAGAACTGAACTAGAACTGAACTAGAACTGAACTAGAACTGAACTAGAACTGAACTAGAACTGAACTAGAACTGAACTAGAACTGAACTAGAACTGAACTAGAACTGAACTAGAACTGAACTAGAACTGAACTAGAACTGAACTAGAACTGAACTAGAACTGAACTAGAACTGAACTAGAACTGAACTAGAACTGAACTAGAACTGAACTAGAACTGAACTAGAACTGAACTAGAACTGAACTAGAACTGAACTAGAACTGAACTAGAACTGAACTAGAACTGAACTAGAACTGAACTAGAACTGAACTAGAACTGAACTAGAACTGAACTAGAACTGAAAGAACTGAACTAAACTGAACTAGAACTGAACTAGAACTGAACTAGAACTGAACTAGAACTGAACTAGAACTGAACTAGAACTGAACTAGAACTGAACTAGAACTGAACTAGAACTGAACTAGAACTGAACTAGAACTGAACTAGAACTGAACTAGAACTGAACTAGAACTGAACTAGAACTGAACTAGAACTGAACTAGAACTGAACTAGAACTGAACTAGAACTGAACTAGAACTGAACTAGAACTGAACTAGAACTGAACTAGAACTGAACTAGAACTGAACTAGAACTGAACTAGAACTGAACTAGAACTGACTAGAACTGAACTAGAACTGAACTAGAACTGAACTAGAACTGAACTAGAACTGAACTAGAACTGAACTAGAACTGAACTAGAACTGAACTAGAGAACTAGAAGAACTAGAACTGAACTAGAACTGAACTAGAACTGAACTAGAACTGACTAGAACTGAACTAACTGAACTAGAACTGAATTAGAACTGAACTAGAACTGAACTAGAACTGAACTAGGACTGAATTAGAACTGAACTAGTACTGAACGAACTGAACTAGAATTGAACTAGAACTGAACTAGACCTGAACTAGAACTGAACTAGGACTGAATTAGAACTGAACTAGTACTGAACTAGAACTGAACTAGTACTGAACTAGAACAGAACTAGAACTGAACTTGGACTAACTAGAACTGAACTAGAACTGAACTAGGACTGAATAGAACTGAACTAATACTGAACTAGAACTGAACTAGTACTGAACTAGAACTGAACTAGAACTGAACTAGAACTGAACTAGAACTGAACTAGAACTGAACTAGAACTGAAGTAGAGCTGAACTAGAACTGAACTAGTACTGAACTAGAATAGAACTAGAACTGAACTTGGACTAAACTAGACAGTTTATTCCAATTGAGATCCCTTATATCAGATTCTGATTAGCTTCATCCCCGTCGTTGTATATCTTCAACGTATTGAAGGCTCCATAGTCCAAATATTGGATAAAAATTAAAAGTGTGTATGATACAACTAGAATTTCTCGAGTACCTACCACAGTAAATTTGTGTAATGATAACGTAACCGTTTTGTTTAACTTCTACATTAATTTTTACTTAATTAAAATGCCAACTTAATGGTTTATTTTATTTTGCTAAAAACTATTGTTTCTTTTTACTTTTTGTTAAACTACTAATAATTGTTTATAAATTGTTTGTTTTTGTTTTATAAAATCGATAACATATACATATTTGCCATAACTGAATTTATAGCATTGTTCTGTGTATAATACAATAAGTCTATTAAAAAAGAACTGTTTGATACTAATAATATATTAGATTTTTTTGCTGATTTTGTTATTGTTGTAATAAAGAGTATAAAATCTCTTGATTATAATCATTGGTTATCGAAATAGGGTTTGTTATATATTAATATTTTTATTAAACTTATGTAAAACTAAACTTAAGGTTTTTTGTCCTAATACATCTTACGTTTGTTTGCTGGTTGCTTGGTTTCTTTTTACGCCACGTTTGCTTAGCTATTTAACAATGTTTTTTGTTTATTGTTTTATGATTTAGCTTATCTTCTAATTTGTTAAATCTGTAGAGGATTTTGTTACATTTTCCAATTTCTGCAAAATTTCCTGTTGTAGATTCATAAATTTTGGGAAAAATTCCTCCATTAATTTAACTTTACGTTCCTCTAGACGTAAACGTTTACGATTGATTTCTCCTTGCTCGACAAGTAGAACATTCTTTTACGCACCTCTTCTAATAAAGTCCCTCCAAAGAATCACTTGTTACGGGTGTAACGGCCGCACTAATGGACGATGAGCGATTACGTTTACGTGGAGAGGCTGCTACAGCCATTGCTTTTGGTGGTTGCATGGCTAAATTGTTGTTAGGGGGCATGATTGTAAAATTGACAATACCATCGGCGTTTGCATTATTATTATGATTTTGTACCGTACGATTTCTTATCAACAGAGAATTGGGATTATTACTGTGTATTTGTGAGTTTTCTAAATTTGTAGAATTTCTGCTGCATGAGGAACTTGTGATGAATGTAATGATTGATTATCTAGCATATGTATATCAGTTGAATTATTCATGCCATCATCTGTGCCACCATCCGTCCTTAGCTCATTTGTTAGCGTTAGCTCAGTGAAACCTTCTTGTTTTAAATCATTTTCGATTTCTTGTTTGATTTCCAATTGATCGCTGCCAAATAAATCGGTACTGAAAATATTACCCGATTGTGAATTGTTGCTGAAGAGATTTTGGTCGGATAATGATGACTGCAAAAAATTTGAAAATTGTAAGTTAGAGACATTGGTATGAAGCTTGTTTAAGTTCAGTTCTAGTTCAGTTCTACTACAGTTCTAGTACAGTTTTAGTTGAGATCCAGTTCAGTTCTAAATCAGTTCTAGTTCAGTTCTAGTTCAGTTCTAGTTCAGTTCTAGTTCAGTTCTAGTTCAGTACTAGTTCAGTTCTAGTTCAGTTCTAGTTCAGTTCTAGTTCAGTTCTAGTTCAGTTCTAGTTCAGTTCTAGTTCAGTTCTAGTTCAGTTCTAGTTCAGTTCTAGTTCAGTTCTAGTTCAGTTCTAGTTCAGTTCTAGTTCAGTTCTAGTTCAATTCTAGTTCAGTTCTAGTTCAGTTCTTGTTCAGTTCTAGTTCAGTTCTAGTTCAGTTCTAGTTCAGTTCTAGTTCAGTTCTAGTTCAGTTCTAGTTCAGTTCTAGTTCGGTTCTAGTTCAGTTCTAGTTCAGTTCTAGTTCAGTTCTAGTTCAGTTCTAGTTCAGTTCTAGTTCAGTTCTAGTTCATTCAGTTCTAGTTCAGTTCTAGTTCAGTTCTAGTTCAGTTCTAGTTCAGTTCTAGTTCAGTTCTAGTTCAGTTCTAGTTCAGTTCTAGTTCAGTTCTAGTTCAGTTCTAGTTCAGTTCTAGTTCAGTTCTAGTTCAGTTCTAGTTCAGTTCTAGTTCAGTTCTAGTTCAGTTCTAGTTCAGTTCTAGTTCAGTTCTAGTTCAGTTCTAGTTCAGTTCTAGTTCAGTTCTGTTCAGTTCTAGTTCAGTTCTAGTTCAGTTCTAGTTCAGTTCTAGTTCAGTTCTAGTTCAGTTCTTGTTCAGTTCTAGTTCAGTTCTAGTTCAGTTCTAGTTCAGTTCTAGTTCAGTTCTAGTTCAGTTCTAGTTCAGTTCTAGTTCTAGTTCAGTTCTAGTTCAGTTCTAGTTCAGTTCTAGTTCAGTTCTAGTTCAGTTCTAGTTCAGTTCTAGTACAGTTCTAGTACAGTTCTAGTTCAGTTCTAGTTCAGTTCTAGTTCAGTTCTAGTTCAGTTCTAGTTCAGTTCTAGTTCAGTTCTAGTTCAGTTCTAGTTCAGTTCTAGTTCAGTTCTAGTTCAGTTCTAGTTCAGTTCTAGTTCAGTTCTAGTTCAGTTCTAGTTCAGTTCTAGTTCAGTTCTAGTTCAGTTCTAGTTCAGTTCTAGTTCAGTTCTAGTTCAGTTCTAGTTCAGTTCTAGTTCAGTTCTAGTTCAGTTCTAGTTCAGTTCTAGTTCAGTTCTAGTTCAGTTCTAGTTCAGTTCTAGTTCAGTTCTAGTTCAGTTCTAGTTCAGTTCTAGTTCAGTTCTAGTTCAGATCTAGTTCAGTTCTAGTTCAGTTCTAGTTCAGTTCTAGTTCAGTTCTAGTTCAGTTCTAGTTCAGTTCTAGTTCAGTTCTAGTTCAGTTCTAGTTCAGTTCTAGTTCAGTTCTAGTTCAGTTCTAGTTCAGTTCTAGTTCAGTTCTAGTTCAGTTCTAGTTCAGTTCTAGTTCAGTTCTAGTTCAGTTCTAGTTCAGTTCTAGTTCAGTTCTAGTTCAGTTCTAGTTCAGTTCTAGTTCAGTTCTAGTTCAGTTCTAGTTCAGTTCTAGTTCAGTTCTAGTTCAGTTCTAGTTCAGTTCTAGTTCAGTTCTAGTTAAGTTCTAGTTAAGTTCTAGTTCAGTTCTAGTTCAGTTCTAGTTCAGTTCTAGTTCAGTTCTAGTTCAGTTCTAGTTCAGTTCTAGTTCAGTTCTAGTTCAGTTCTAGTTCAGTTCTAGTTCAGTTCTAGTTCAGTTCTAGTTCAGTTCTAGTTCAGTTCTAGTTCAGTTCTAGTTCAGTTCTAGTTCAGTTCTAGTTCAGTTCTAGTTCAGTTCTAGTTCAGTTCTAGTTCAGTTCTAGTTCAGTTCTAGTTCAGTTCTAGTTCTAGTTCAGTTCTAGTTCAGTTCTAGTTCAGTTCTAGTTCAGTTCTAGTTCAGTTCTAGTTCAGTTCTAGTTCAGTTCTAGTTCAGTTCTAGTTCAGTTCTAGTTCAGTTCTAGTTCAGTTCTAGTTCAGTTCTAGTTCAGTTCTAGTTCAGTTCTAGTTCAGTTCTAGTTCAGTTCTAGTTCAGTTCTAGTTCAGTTCTAGTTCAGTTCTAGTTCAGTTCTAGTTCAGTTCTAGTTCAGTTCTAGTTCAGTTCTAGTTCAGTCTAGTTCAGTTCTAGTTCAGTTCTAGTTCAGTTCTAGTTCAGTTCTAGTTCAGTTCTAGTTCAGTTCTAGTTAGTTCTAGTTCAGTTCTAGTTCAGTTCTAGTTCAGTTCTAGTTCAGTTCTAGTTCAGTTCTAGTTCAGTTCTAGTTCAGTTCTAGTTCAGTTCTAGTTCAGTTCTAGTTGTTCTAGTTCAGTTCTAGTTCAGTTCTAGTTCAGTTCTAGTTCAGTTCTAGTTCAGTTCTAGTTCAGTTCTAGTTCAGTTCTAGTTCAGTTCTAGTTCAGTTCTAGTTCAGTTCTAGTTCAGTTCTAGTTCAGTTCTAGTTCAGTTCTAGTTCAGTTCTAGTTCAGTTCTAGTTCAGTTCTAGTTCAGTTCTAGTTCAGTTCTAGTTCAGTTCTAGTTCAGTTCTAGTTCAGTTCTAGTTCAGTTCTAGTTCAGTTCTAGTTCAGTTCTAGTTCAGTTCTAGTTCAGTTCTAGTTCAGTTCTAGTTCAGTTCTAGTTCAGTTCTAGTTCAGCTCTAGTTCAGTTCTAGTTCAGTTCTAGTTCAGTTCTAGTTCAGTTCTAGTTCAGTTCTAGTTCAGTTCTAGTTCAGTTCTAGTTCAGTTCTAGTTCAGTTCTAGTTCAGTTCTAGTTCAGTTCTAGTTCAGTTTTAGTTCAGTTCTAGTTAGTTCTAGTTCAGTTCTAGTTCAGTTCTAGTTCAGTTCTAGTTCAGTTCTAGTTCAGTTTTAGTTCAGTTCTAGTTCTAGTTCAGTTCTAGTTCAGTTCTAGTTCAGTTCTAGTTCAGTTCTAGTTCAGTTCTAGTTCTAGTTCAGTTCTAGTTCAGTTCTAGTTCAGTTCTAATTCAGTTCTAGTTCAGTTCTAATTCAGTTCTAGTTCAGTTCTAGTTCAGTTCTAGTTCAGTTCTAGTTCAGTTCTAGTTCAGTTCTAGTTCAGTTCAGTTCAGTTCTAGTTCAGTTCTAGTTCAGTTCTAGTTCAGTTCTAGTTCAGTTCTAGTTCAGTTCTAGTTCAGTTCTAGTTCAGTTCTAGTTCAGTTCTAGTTCAGTTCTAGTTCAGTTCTAGTTCAGTTCTAATTCAATTCTAATTCAGTTCTAATTCAGTTCTAGTTCAGTTTCTAGTTCAGTTCTAGTTCAGTTCTAGTTCAGTTCTAGTTCAGTTCTAGTTCAGTTCTAGTTCAGTTCTAGTTCAGTTCTAGTTCAGTTCTAGTTCAGTTCTAGTTCAGTTCTAGTTCAGTTCTAGTTCAGTTCTAGTTCAGTTCTAGTTCAGTTCTAGTTCAGTTCTAGTTCAGTTCTAGTTCAGTTCTAGTTCAGTTCTAGTTCAGTTCTAGTTCAGTTCTAGTTCAGTTCTAGTTCAGTTCTAGTTCAGTTCTAGTTCAGTTCTAGTTCAGTTCTAGTTCAGTTCTAGTTCAGTTCTAGTTCAGTTCTAGTTCAGTTCTAGTTCAGTTCTAGTTCAGTTCTAATTCAGTTCTAATTCAGTTCTAGTTCAGTTCTAGTTCAGTTCTAGTTCAGTTCTAGTTCAGTTCTAGTTCAGTTCTAGTTCAGTTCTAGTTCAGTTCTAGTTCAGTTCTAGTTCAGTTCTAGTTCAGTTCTAGTTCAGTTTCTAGTTCAGTTCTAGTTCAGTTCTAGTTCAGTTCTAGTTCAGTTCTAGTTCAGTTCTAGTTCAGTTCTAGTTCAGTTCTAGTTCAGTTCTAGTTCAGTTCTAGTTCAGTTCTAGTTCAGTTCTAGTTCAGTTCTAGTTCAGTTCTAGTTTCTAGGTGCTAGTTCAGTTCTAGTCAGTTATAGTTTAGTTCTAGTTCAGTTCTAGTTCAGTTCTAGTTCAGTTCTAGTTCCGTTCTAGTCAGTTCTAGTTCAGTTCTAAGTTCAGTTCTAGTTCAGTTCTAGTTCAGTTCAGTTCCGTTTCTAGTCAGTTCTAAGTTCAGTTCTAGTTCAGTTCTAGTTCAGTTCTAATCAGTTCTAGTTAGTTCTAATTCAGTTCTAGTCAGTTCTAGTTCAGTTAGTTCAGTTCTAGTTCAGTTCTAGTTCAGTCTAGTTCAGTCTAGTTCAGTTCTAGTTCAGTTCTAGTCAGTTCTAGTTCAGTTCTAGTTCAGTTCTAGTTCAGTTCTAGTTCAGTTCTAGTTCAGTTCTAGTTCAGTTCTAGTTCAGTTCTAGTTCAGTTCTTAGTCAGTTCTAGTTCAGTTCTAGTTCAGTTCTAGTTCAGTTCTAGTTCGTTATAGTTCAGTCTAGTTCAGTTCTAGTTCAGTTCTAGTTCAGTTCTAGTTCAGTTCTAGTTCTAGTCAGTTCTAGTTCAGTTCTAGTTCTAGTTCAGTCAGTTCTAAGTTCAGTTCTAGTTCAGTTCTAGTTCAGTTCTAGTTCAGTTCTAGTTCAGTTCTAGTTCAGTTCTAGTTCGTTCTAGTATTCAGTTCAGTTCTAGTTCAGTTCTAGTTCAGTTCTAGTTCAGTTCTAGTTCAGTTCTAGTTCATTCTAGTTCAGTTCTAGTTCAGTTCTAGTTCAGTTCTAGTTCAGTTCTAGTTCAGTTCTAGTTCAGTTCTAGTTCAGTTCTAGTTCAGTTCTAGTTCAGTTCTAGTTCAGTTCTAGTTCAGTTCTAGTTCAGTTCTAGTTCAGTTCTAGTTCAGTTCTAGTTCAGTTCTAGTTCAGTTCTAGTTCAGTTCTAGTTCAGTTCTAGTTCAATTCTAGTTCAATTCTAGTTCAGTTCTAGTTCAGTTCTAGTTCAGTTCTAGTTTAGTTTAGTTCAGTTCTAGTTCAGTTGTAGTTCAGTTCTAGTTCAGTTCTAGTTCAGTTCTAGTTCAGTTCTAGTTCAGTTCTAGTTCAGTTCTAATTCAGTTCTAGTTCAGTTCTAGTTCAGTTCTAGTTCAGTTCTAGTTCAGTTCTAGTTCAGTTCTAGTTCAGTTCTAGTTCAGTTCTAGTTCAGTTCTAGTTCAGTTCTAGTTCAGTTCTAGTTCAGTTCTAGTTCAGTTCTAGTTCAGTTCTAGTTCAGTTCTAGTTCAGTTCTAGTTCAGTTCTAGTTCAGTTCTAGTTCAGTTCTAGTTCAGTTCTAGTTCAGTTCTAGTTCAGTTCTAGTTCAGTTCTAGTTCAGTTCTAGTTCAGTTCTAGTTCAGTTCTAGTTCAGTTCTAGTTCAGTTCTAGTTCAGTTCTAGTTCAGTTCTAGTTCAGTTCTAGTTCAGTTCTAGTTCAGTTCGTTCAGTTCTAGTTCAGTTCTAGTTCAGTTCTAGTTCAGTTCTAGTTCAGTTCTAGTTCAGTTCTAGTTCAGTTCTAGTTCAGTTCTAGTTCAGTTCTAGTTCAGTTCTAGTTCAGTTCTAGTTCAGTTCTAGTTCAGTTCTAGTTCAGTTCTAGTTCAGTTCTAGTTCAGTTCTAGTTCAGTTCTAGTTCAGTTCTAGTTCAGTTCTAGTTCAGTTCTAGTTCAGTTCTAGTTTAGTGCTAGTTTACTTGTGGTTCTGCTATACTACTTACACTGCTCATATTAACTTCATCGGTTAACTGATGATCGGTGTTATGGGACTGGCTTAGATTAATGCCCTGCTCTGTTAAATTGGACATATTCGATATACTGCTGGGAGATGGGGGTTGGGTAGCACAATTTAATAACTCTGTAGGCGAAACATCACGATTATTTTCCAATGCTTCCGGGGGCACCGGTTCATCGTCTTTAGAACGATATTGATTCTTTAAGATTCTCTCCACAATATCGTATTTCTTCCATTTTACGGCATTTTTATCCATTTCTAAATTCTTTTTAACTTGTCTGTAAAGAAATTACAAGAGTTAATATTTGCTGGTTAAAATTGATCAAAAAAACTTTACCTGAACTTAGCCCTTGTCTGATTAACTTTACACTGCACTTCCTCAGGCTTGACATCTATATTAAAACGTTCCCTCATCTCATCCGACCATTTGGCAAAGAATATGGTATTTTTACCATGTCTGGTTAATCGCCAATTTTCCCTACCCCATATTTCATAGAATTTCTCCTCTTCCTTGGGCGTCCAGTAGCGCCTGTGTTTAGTTTTTGACTCGGCGTCTATATTGTTTTCCTGCTCATTTAGGGGATTAAGCATTGCAACTTCATTGTTGTGTTCTGCTTGTGCTTTTGGTGGCGGCGGTGGTTGTGCTGGGGGCTCCGATGCATCAACTGCTGCTGCTGCCGTCGACTCCGTCGTTGCATTAGAATCCTCTGTTGTGTCAATATTTTCTTTAGGTGGTGCTTCATTTTCTGTATTCTCCTCTGTTTTAACTTCTAGCATTTTGCACACGTTTATCTTACAAATTATTTACTGTTTATATTTCTGTTTTTTATTTATTTAGTGAAAAATTTGCACACTTTTTTCTTGTAATCTGAAATAATTATTAGTATTTTTATTGCAGCCGTAGCGGCGAAAAATTTTTGTATTATTTGTGGTGTAGTTAATTTAGCGATTTCTACAACGTAATTGCTTTTTAATAGCTAATAAGAGCTATTTCTGTTAATTAAACAGCGGTTATTGTATAAAGAAAGGAGTTGGCATCATTTTTTGCACTCACTCACGTACGAATTCCTCTTCTTGCCGAAAATATTCATTGTGGAATAATATCATAGAGAAAGAGTTGACATATATATATCAGAGATGGAATTACAATATTATAATTGTATAAAACAGCATTAAAAAATTTTGATTTTTTGATTCTTTTTTTATTATTTTTTAGACTAGACTTTAAACTAGACCATATTTGTATTTTTTTATTCTTATTGCACCAAATATTTTTTAGACTAGACTATAAACTAGACCATACTAGAATTTTATATAAAAAAATTCTAGGCTAATTTTATTTATTTATTTATTTTAGTATTAGTGATTTTCTACATTTGCTTTCAGCAGTTGTAGTTTACTGTCAGGCAACACTTTTGTCATTATACATCAAAAATACAACTCTGTTACTCTCGTCAAGTTTTAAATGTAGTTGTTGTTGCTGTTTTTAACATTTTCACCCCAGTTGTTTTGTTTATATTTTTTCTTGGGAAAAATTTGCGACTGAAAAATTTTCTTTTTGCAATCGATTACAATTTTCTGCGAAATTTTAAAAACAACTTGAAATAATGACTGATTTACAACCCAATGGGGAACCTAAAAAGATATATCTCAGCAAACCTCTCGAACAGCCAGCCCTCAAAAATGGATCTATAGCAGTGAACACTCCTCAACCTATAGCAGCCAGCACTCCTCAACAGTGGAGATCTTTAAGAAGTTGCTCGGGAGATATGGTACGTATACCGCCGAGACGCCATCAACCACCGGTGGATAAGACGGGTGAAGAACATTTGAGTAATCACAAGAAACAACGTTACTGGAATTCCTGGGAGGAGTTGTATTTGGTAGAATTGTGGCGTCGCTACAAGGAAGAATTGACCATAGTGAATGTGCCTTTGCCGGTGTATCGTAAGATGATGATAGCCATGCGTAATCGGAATATGATAGTTACAGCTCAGGATTGCCGGCGTAAGGTCAATACCCTTAACACGAGATACAAGTAAGTTTTTAATTTAACGAATAGATTGATTAATGCTTATTTGTTTTGAATTTCTAGGCAAGAATTACAGAAAATGGAATCATCTGGTTGCAAATCCGAATGGCGTTTGTTTCCTCTTATACACTGTGTTTTGCAACCTAAAATTAAAGAATTTGATCCTTGGCATGAAACGATTGTAAGTATAGTATATTTTTTTAATTTGTTTAATAATTTTAAACTTATATTTCTTCCTATTCTCAGATTATCAAAAAGCTCTTAGATAAAATACCCAAACCAGTGGAAGTTGACGCCCCCACACTAGCCCTAAACCATCAAAACAACAGCCATCAGTATCCTACTTATCAAACACGCAATCCTCCCACTTCAACTCAAGTCAATTCTTATCAGCACCGTACTCACGTTTCCTCTGGCGTCTATACAGATTCCTATTCACCTTACAATCGGCTACAATCTTCGTCACAGGGTCGTTTTGAAAAACCGTCTATTTTACCCTTCCGCAATATAACCATGGAGAAAATTGAACAATTGCGCCAGGATAACAATCGTTTAGCCGAACAACGAGATGCTGATCTTAAATCTTTACATTTGGAAGAAGAAAATTTCCGTTGTTTTGAGACTTTCATACGCATCTGGACGGAACAGAAGGAAATGGAATTAAGACGTGTTCAACTAATGTCTGAACAAAATGTTATTAGTATAGAAAATGAAGAAAATCAGAATGTCGAGCAGCATCAGCTGCAGGAAACAGTAACAGCTAAATGATATAATTATTACTTAGTATTGACTTTATTTATATTTTAGTTATTTGGATTATTATTAAAATATTCTGCATCGAAACTTTTGCAGAATTGTGAAATTTTTTTGTGTTGTGTTTAAAAAAAAAAAACGTAATTATTTTTAATAAAAATTGACTTGATTTTAAAATTAAACTAAGATTTCGCTTTAATTCATCGTTAGTTTTAGTATTGCCTAAATTGACATAAGAAATTTTTCATGTCTGGACGCCTGATATGTTCTATGGAGAAAAATGTTCTTAACAATCGGAGTGACATGTTTTCTGTTAAGAAAATTTTTATATTATGGCATGTTTTTTTATTAATAAAATGTTCATTATATTTTCTGTGGAGTTTTCATGTCATGACATATTTTTGTTAAGAAATTTTTATATCATGACATATTTTTGTTAAGACAATTTTATGTCATGATGAAATTTCTGTTAAAAAATTAAAAAGTTTTTAATAAGTTCCATTTAAAACAATTTTTTTTAGTTTCCTTTCGTTTATTTTGAATAAAATCTCTTTTTTTTTCTACTTAAAAGTTTTCTTTTCTCAATTTCCAAAATCCATTTAGTTAAAATTGTTTTATATATTTTAAATTAACTTAAAACTTTATACTTAAAAATAAAAGAATTTAAATAAATTGTAGATTTGATATAATAATAAAATTATATTTTTGTTATTATTTTAAACGAAAAATGGGAGAGTTTTAAACCAAAGAATGTTTAAAGAAGCTTAAAATTAATTATTTAAATAAAATTATTAATATATATAAACATGTTTAGAGAGAGAGAGAGAAATAATTTTGAAAGGCAGATTAATGTTTAAAAGAAAACTAATTAAAAAATCGTTAAATTGTTTGCTATTTTTGTTTTGATAAATACAATATTTTGACTTTTAACAAATTAAAACAAATTTTATAATTTGTTTAATAATTTGCTTTTTAACAAATTTAAATATCTTTTAATGCTAAAAAGAGTCTGTTATTAAACATTTTAAATTGTTTTTTCTCTTACATTTCGTTTTAAGTTCTTATATTTATGTATTTTATGTTGTTTTTCTTTATAATTGTATAAGATTTCGTTAGTTTTATATAAATGCCTAGTAATTTTTGTAATTATTTATTAAATTATTGTTTTTTTCCATTCAATTATACTGTACGCCTGTCTGTCTGTGTTTAAATAACAATGTTTTTCGTTTAATTTGTTTATAGGTTGTTGTGATTCTATTTAGTTTGTTAGTGTTTTATTAACTCTAAAGGCCTAGATATGAGCATAAAGTAAATGCGCCAAATAGCACCAAAACTATGAGCATTATAGCCAACCAAGCGGGCATGGTGCCTGTAGGAAAATATAAAAACAAATTAGAAATGTATAACAATTTGTCCGTCATACGGGTAATATAAGGAAACTTACGTCTATGTTGCAAACTGTGTATGCACACTTTATTGTCTACGGATATAGATAAAACTGCAGCTTCGGTATCACTAGATATGGGTGGTCCTTCCTCATTGGTTACGGGCAAGAATTGTAAACCAGTCACAAACATTGAGTGAGCATTGGGTATAAGGAGAACACGCTAAAATACAAATACAATGTTAAGAGACCTTTTAAGTTTATTTCTTTCCATTATTACTCACCTGTAAACTAAAGCCAATATACATGGAAATACTACCCGAAAACATGGTACCAACGGCAACAAAACGACCATCATCTCTCACGGCCAAAGAGGCTAAACTTTCATCTATGGCCACAGCTAAACGTATTTTACCCGTCGTACTTTCCCACTGCTGTAAGTAACCCCTCTGTTTGCCTACTTTACCCAGAGGATTGGTAATGGTAAAGAGACGATATTTATCCCTTTGGGCCTCTATAGTACCATAACGACAACGTTTAAATAGATATTTAGCTCCCTCTGGTGTATCCCATTTTAAATCATAGACCTTTTTCGTAGTGGCCACATCCCATACGATGCCTTGACCATCTTTGGCAATGGTAACGATATATTTCGAATCAGGACTTATGTCAATATCATCTATCTCCTTAGTATGAGCTCTAAAACAAAAAAAAAAAAATTAAAAACATCAATAAATTTTTTAAATTATCATAAAAAATATAAAAAACTTACTCTATATCAGCGGATTTAATCATTTGTGGAAAAGACCACACTCTCAGATGACCATCGGTACCACCAGTACACATTATATGACCATTAGGTGAAATCCTCACTACTCTTTGTAGAGGATCTGCGGTTAGGAAATCTGTTTGTATAGAATCCGCTGCCTTAATATCGAATTTTAAAATACGCCTGAGATTTGCATTTTGATCTTGTTTATTTGTGGTCTTAGCCTCTGCTCCTCCCGCAGCATGACCATTAGGTAAATCTTCTACACCCGAAGCTGTGGTACGACGTTGTCTTACACCATTTTCATTGACATGCATTTCTAGGGGTGATTTTTGAGATTTTTCTTCTTGTGTAACAGAAATTTCCTCTTTACCATCCTCACTCACTACTCGGGGATTAACAAAATACATTTGACAATGAGACTCTTGGCCGGCACACAAAAATGAGCGTCTACCATCATTGCGGACAGCAAAATTCATTACCACATTGGCTCCAGTTTCGTGACGTACCACCTCTTGGGCACAAAAGTGTTGTCCGTTATGGTAAATTTCATAAATTTCCTAAAATATAAAATAATTAGTAAGAATTCTTGTGGTTTTCATAAAAAAAAACTTACAAAACCATTTGCTACTCCTGTCTTACTGGCACCGCCACCACCAGCCACTAAAACATGTCGACTAGTTAACATTTCCACTGCATACAAAGGAAAATTCACTCTGGCCAATAGACCATCACTTGGTTTTCTAGTTGGTGCCATGTCTGCTTATCTTTTTGTGGTCTGTCTTTGACCTTTCCCCTATTTACTTAACAATTTATAAACTATTGTTTTTTTTTTTGTAACAAATTATTGGCTTTTTATCAGCTGCTGCTATTGTCTAACAAAATTACTAGGTTTAGTTTTTTCTTTTGTTGTAAAAAATCTATTTTGTCACCAATCTATTTTTTCCGTCAGAGTCTCGCCTCCTTTTTTCTTGACTGCTTCTGTTTTTTTGATATTTATTTAGGATTTTTATTTAATTGCTATATTGTTGTTAAGTATGGCCTTAATGT